CTGTTAGGTTTTGTCCTCATTGCTGTTGTCATATGCATGAAGATGACCCTTATCAATCTGCTGTTTTGAAAACCTGAAAGCAGTGCCACTGATTATGTGTCTTAAAATTTATTTATTTTTTTTCCTCACGTTTTTTTGTAGTGGTAAAGCTACCTGTGCAGCAGTATGGAGGCTGAAGAATCTGCAGCTTTAGCTCAAATGGTCAAATGCATAGATTCTATTGTACTGTTTTAACATTAAGGTATTCATACAGTTAAAGTTTAGTTTATATATCCCTTTTCCCCCCTCTTTCCTACTTGTGTGTAATTTTATTCAGGTGCCTTGAGTATTTTATTATTTGCGTTCAATTATTCCACTGCTGTTCCCAGTTGTTTCCTGTCCTTAGTATTAGAACTGTTTACCTTGTTTTTTTCCCCCACCTTTCACATTATCTCTTCAAGCTTTGAGATTTCTTTGCGCCTGTGTGATCTCATACAACATCAGAGCTGTGGAGCCTGCTGTGTGTAAATTTGACTTTTTTTAATAATCTCCTCGAGTTTTCATCAACAGCTTCACATGATAAACCAGTCCTCTGGATATAAGTGTGCGCTGCATAGTAGAAGTTCAAAGATGCCTTAATTGAAAAATAAAATGTAAAGGGAGACCATATCCATAAGTATAAGCAAGAGGGGGAGTGGAACAGAGTTATGGTTGAGCTTTTAACCTTAATTCCCGATTTCAAGACCTCTGAATGCTTGGTTTGTTAGCATTAAAGTTGCACTATCTTAGGGTGTTTTTGCATGAGAGTGTGTGTGTTTAATCAACTAAGCATGAAATCCCTTGATTCTGTTTGTCCCTATTAAATAGTGGCAACAAAAGAAACAGACAGGAGATGGGTCCAGAACAAAGCAGAAATAATGGAGTATTTCACCCCAAAAAGGAGAGTGAAACGAGAAGTACAATGAGTAGGCAAAGACAGACTCAATGGCCAGAGGCAGTGTAATGTGTTGGAGAGAGCCGTAATTCAGGGACATTTGCTGACCAGAGCTTCACTCTGATCTCTGAGAGGCACATGTATCAGCAGTGTTTGGCTACCCTGGCTATAGACACAGTATTTAATGCTTTTCCCAGAGGAAATCTCCCCAGGGCTTTAAAGGGATGCTGGCTAGGATTGTCAGATCAAATACTGATCCACCTAAACCTGGAATCATCTGCTTGGGATAGAAATCCCTAAGCAGGAGCAGGAGTGGTTAACTTCTTCCCTTAGCTCTTGCCTGTGGTCGTACACGCACATGCAGCGTGCATGCCCACATACAAGCAAAATGAAAGTAACATTGGTGCTGAATATTGCACAGGTTTCTGCAGACTGCAGCACCTGATTATGCCCAGTTTTCTGGATAAATGCATCCTTTTTTCCAAAACTGGCGAATTCATACATTTTTTCAAGATACTGTGTTGTTTTATTGTCAGTACTTTAAGATCTGCTTGTTCATTAAAAAAATTAATAAAATTAACTACTAATTCTCCGTGCCTACCTCTCTTTGCCTGCTTCTTCTCTCCATCCAATGGCTATAAAGAGTTTTGAGTGTAATGTTCTTAAAAATAATGAAAACTGACACTTTGTTTGACAGGTCTCTCCCTTTAAAGTGTCACCCTGGTAGGATGAAAGGGCTCCAAAAAAATGTTGTTTCTTTTTTGTTGCTAGTAGTGGGGCTGAAATGCATGACCATACTCCAAACAACATTTCAGTGGCTATGCCAGCTAGCTCTGCTTGACCCTATATTTGTGGTGGTCAAATGTTTTCTTTCTGTCCTCTCCAGCACTCCCTCAGAGTGGCCTCATTTGTGTTTGGAGTTTGTTTTCTAATACGTAAAAGACAACCTTTTATTGGGCAGTCACTCATCAAGGAAATCAAGTTTGGGAATCACTGAAAGAGACTTCCAGGTTCATATAGGACAAGTGTTTCAAGACCAGTCGGGCTGTTAATTCAGATTTCTTTTATGCCCTTTGGGTTGTCCAGATGGACTGGAAAGTATGCCGGGTTTGGAATGGACTGACCGGTAGTTGTGAATTGAACAACTCTCTCAGTGTTTTTGATATATTTGTGTTCTGGATTTCAGGAATGGCTTTTTTAGTTATAAGTTTCTTGCAGTTCTGTGCATAATACGTGATGACATCTTAAATAATGGTGTAGCTATAGTCCATGCTAGATATACTCCAGGGCATATAAAATACTCCAGGACATACTTCCTGTCCGTAATCAGAAGCAGAATATAGGATGTAGTGTTATTTGCATGGTCAATGACCTCTTAATTTTCTACTTTTCGCAGATCTTGTGCAGCTACTAGATGCAGCTGCCAAAGTTGTGAAAATAGATGTTTAGTCTCTAAAATGGATGTTTAAATAGCCCTGGCTTTCTTAGGGGCCAAGTAACTTTAAGCTGCTGAGAGAACAGGAAGGAGTGATCGGACTGTTTGTATAGTGGTATTTCCAATGGAAGAGATGTTCACTGAGCTTGAGTAAGGAGGATGGCGAAACAAGTTTCTAAAATTTAAATATGTTATTACAAGCATCCCCTATAATGTACTGTAGAATTTCTCATGTCAGCCAGTGGTAAGTGCTATACACAACAGCTTAAATTTCAGCAGCTTTTTGAAGCTAGGATATTTAAAGTCTGTTTTCATTTCAACTGAACAAAAACACCTACTGAAGGAAGTGAGCATTGCAGAAGGACAAAGTCATGAACATAACTAAGATAGGGGAATTACATAAATTAAAATACGAGGGTCGTCTGCAGGAGCCATTTCCCTGTCTTCTGGGGGTTCTGTGCCTGCTGTATCTCAGGAACTTTCATACATAACTGTGCTTACTGGTGAAGGATGAGTGAGTGGGTGATGGGTCTGTGTATGCTGCTTTGGACATACAGTTTGACCTGGATTTTTGATCCTACGTTTAATCAACAGTTGTAAAGGTTGTCCAGACTAAGTTAGACCTAAGGAATCTGCACTAAAGAGATATTGAACTTCACAAAACCAGCCTGCAGAGCCCCTCTGTCAGAGCCTCCATGTGTGTTCTACAAAGAGCAGTAATTATCTCTGGCAGAACTGCAGGTTATTAAATGTTGTCAGGGCCGCAAGAGTCATGTCTGGTTGCATAAGAACTGGCACAGTGTCTGGGGCAGAGAGAAGCACAGACGTCCACCAGCTCATCTGTTCCTTTGTGTTTTTCAACATGACATCAAGAAGTTGTTGCAAAGATGCCGTGCTGACGGGGACAAATTGAATCCTTTTAAAAGACTGGCTGCAAAGGGCCTGACACACAGCCTCGGGAGCTCTGGCAAGCTTTGAAGAATTTTATGTGGCCTTCAGCCCGATATCCATTAGGTGGAAGCTCTGTTTGAAGGAGCTTATGTTGTGCAATGAACTCAGTTGGCCTTTCTCACTTAAGTACCAGCGTAGAGTATTTGCTGTGGCTTTGTAGAATCTGTGAGATAAGAATAAACTGACGTCAGTGCATAAAGCTAGAAGGCATGTTTACTCCGTTTAGCTATGGACACACATATGAGGGCAAACCTTCTTGAAAAGAGTAATTTTTCCATCAGATTTACTAGAGGCAAAGCTTTTATTTTTAAAATCTTTTGCCTCTGTTCAGCTTAACTACTACTATGGCAAATGTTTTTACTCCTGAAATATTTCCTTTCACATTTTTAAAAGGTGTTGAAGGAATTTCATAACTTTCCCTGAACTTATCTTTTGCTTCTTTAAACCAATGGAGACTGTTAACAGCAGTATAATAACTTACATCTATATGGAAAGAATCCAATAAAAGTTCTGCGTTCAGTGAGCTGTCTTTTTATCATCGTGTTCTCTTTGGATGACTTGCTCACAGAGCCAGACCCCCACTATTTTCAGTAGTGCCTTACTGACGTCTGTTGAGTTTCTCTGCTTCTCCCATAGTCCTCAATGGGAGATCCTGGGTAGTCACACAGACAAACTAGGTTAAGTTTGTAAAGACTGGATTTCTTTACCCAGTGCGGTGATTGGCTTGAGGTTAAGATGGAAAAAAAGAGCTGGGACTATGTAAAGACAGAATGTGTTAGAGAGGAGCGATTGCACAAACACGTTTTCCCTTCTTTGTTACAGCAGATGTACTCCTCTGATATGAAGGTGGCAGATATTGGGGAAAAGGGTATTTATATATATTGGGGTGGCGGAGGTCTGTCTTGGACATCAGTGGGTAATTCTATCCCATACCTTAAACATAAACTTCCTAGCTTTCCCAGAATGGTATATTTTTAGATTTTTACATTAGAATTTTCCGTATGACATGTAAAGAAAGGTCTGATGAACCTTACTAAGGGATTAAAGGACCTTTTGGATGAGCTTGGCCTACTTTGGCAATACCATTTAAGAGATGTGAGCAGAACTCTAAAGTAGGCTTTGTATAAGATACTTTTATTCTTAATATTGTGATTAATTTATACTTTTCCAGGGAAAGTGAGAAATCTGCATATTTATGACTAGGGCTGTGTCCGTCCCAAGAAGGACATCAGTGGAGCAAAGTTCTCTGATTCTTTCCTGTCACAACAGGTAGAGCCTGGCCAGCAGCTGCTCTGGAGCTGCTCTGAAGTTCACACCAGGCATTGCATGAAATCAGTGCAGGAAGCAAACTCATGCATACGCAGCCGCACAGTTGAGTTGGGCACGTGCCTGTCTCGCTGTATGTGCACTCCTCATGCTGTTCAGGAAATGGATTTCCAGCTCTATGAGGTTTAGGTGGAAAGTTAACAGCATATTATGTTTTCTTATAAAGCTGTTCCAGGTTTTAGTTGAGGTGGTCTCAGTCTATTAATTGTTGATCTTGTCAAAATGGTAAGTTGGAATAATAATTTGCTTCTCTCTGATGCCTTTACATATATAAACTTGACTTTTCGATCATTGTTGAATAAGCATTTGCAAAAAAAAAAAGAAACTTCTTCCTTTTCCTTCTGTTTTTTTTTTTGTTTTTCCCTACCCTGACAGTGTTTTAGAGCACTTTGCTGCAAGGGACCGCCACCGCCACGGCCTGAATATGACTTGGTTTGCATAGGCCTCACTGGTTCTGGCAAGACAAGTCTTCTGTCACAGCTTTGCAGTGAAAGCCCGGAGAATATAGTGTCTACCACAGGTAGGATGCTGCCTTTATTCCATGGTGTGCTGTAAGGTTGCCAAAAGGTAACTTTGGAAACATATAGCAAAGGTGGTAGAGAACTTCAGCTTAGTTGTCTTGCTTTTGAAAATACCCAGTGGACTGCCTTGAAGCTACAATTGCTTACTCTTTCAGTGTTTTGTCATACGTTGGGGAATATCCATGAAAATACACAATTTGGAATGTGTTGAAATTCAAAGCATACATTGTGGTGTAATGGAGTAGAACTGTTCGAAACATACAGTAGAAGTGTAATGTAGATACACATTAAAAGGTTTCTTTTTTCTCTTTTTACTTTTGCTTTTTAAGCAGTCTTGTTATATGGACAGAAAAGAGGATAATGTGCTATAAAATAGAATGGGAAAGTGATGCTCTGAAACTTAAGTTGGGATTTATTTCTTCTCATATGTGGTCAGTACGGCCTTGTGGTTTACGCTAACAACCAGAAGAATAAATGTAATGGAAATCTTTATTTCTGATGATAATCCTTTCTTTTTAGATCAGCAGAGAGACTTGTTTATGCACTAAGGGCAGATTGAGATCAGAGAAGCAATTTACAAAAAGTTTGAGTGGCATTGAGAAGATACATAAAACCAGACACAATAGCCACAGCTAAAAGGTGCCTTAAGTCCACAAAATTTGAATATGCACGCTGATATAGATGAACCAGAATGCCGAATACTCAGAAGAGTATTTTGATTAAAAAAACAACAAAAAAACCCCCAAACCAAAACAGCACCAGAAAAAACAGAACCAAACATGTGGAATGAGAAGAGGGAATACCTGGCTGCAGAGTTCAGAAAGAGGACAGATTAGGTTATAGAGATGGAGGAAATCTGGTTCTGTGGCTGCAGTGATTTGCTAAGGTCGATTTGCTGAGGGAACAGATAACAGTCTTGTGCGAGTAACTTGTGTTTATAGTTACACAGCTTTATATTGTAGCTGTGGTTCATAAGTTTGAATTTTATGATTGTCCCTTAGCAACCCTAAGCTGTTTTTCAGTGTATCTTTGTTTAAAATACAAGAACATAAGGTTATTTAATACAACTATAAGTAAACAAAGTAAAACAGATACAAGGAAATACTGGTTTTTTCTGTGATGATTAATTAAGCCGTTGACTTCACAGTGGTGTTATTGGGAATGTTAAAAGAGATCTGACACTTCATTATGTGGAGAAGGTGTCAATGCCTAACTGAAAAAATTAGAAGGAAATCGTAAAGTAATTCAGCCTTTTTTTTTTTTCTTCTTTTTTTTTCACCTCTCCTGAGCTTTATCTTTACAGTTCACCTGGAATTAGTGCAAATTATACTTTAATAATTTAGAATGTGAAAGAAGTATTGACAGCAGTGTAAATAGCACTATAGATCTATCAAAGGAAATAATGAAAATATGATTAATTTTAAAATTAAGTTTCTTATAGGTTTCTAGATAGTTGCAAAAAAATACCATTGTTTAGTTAGGCAACTTCAAGAATGAAAATGGACTCTGCAGAAAACTAGGCAGCATCCAAACCAAAATGATGCATATCTAGGCTATTCAGCTTATAATAAATCTACCCATGTGTACCATGTGTGTGCTATATCAGAAAATATTGTTGAGAATCCAAGAATACAGTGTGACAACTTCTCCACTCAGTTTTCAAACTGTGACCTGTATTTTTGCTTTTCTCATCGATGCCACTCACGTCCATTTCAGTTTCTCCTCTTTTCTAGGAAGAGCTTAGGATTTGTTTTATGACAACAACAACAAAAATATTTCATAATTATTCCCTTCACATTTTATTGCATTTTCCTCTACTGCATCTAACACTGACCATGGTTGGAGTACTGGAATATCTTATTGATCTGATCTGGGAGAAAAAATACCTTGTTTCTGTTAAACGATAGCTAATGCATTTGGAGTGAAATGCATTTTTTTCAGAACGTATTTATTCAGTTCACAGGTATATTATCACGTCGAGACTACTTGTGCTAGATGGAAATAAGTTTACTATCTATCTGGACATTTTGTGCTGAAAGAGCAGACATTTTTTTCTGTATAAATGATTATATACACTTAGATGTTTGTATGCACAAAATGTGCAGAAGTTAGTATACAGTATAATGATTGGTTGCTGGGAACCTTTGGCTTTCCCTTTCTCTTGGCTGTCTGAATTTTCAGTTAAGGGAAAAAACATCACACTTTTTAAAGTTTTTTAGTTTTAAGCATATAACAGGTTAATAGAGGATTCATAGATAGTTCTAGTGTACTTGTAACCATTTTAATACATACGACTTGGGTCTCTAATAAAAGGATCTTTCTGTTAATAACATTTATAGACAGGATTAATACTCTAGGTGTAACCAAAACCTGTCAAGTTTAAATGTAAGAAAACAGTGATTTGAATTGCACGTTGTCTTCCATGTCTCCTAAAAATTGCAGAAGGATCACTTCTTATTATTGGTAGTCTGAAATCTAAACTTTAGTTCCAGATGCATTAAAAAATGGTTTTATAAAGGTATGTTCTGTACTAACTCCTTACCAAATGGTACATAGCCTGGATGGAAGTTTTGTGCTGAATTTTGTGTGTGCCAGCTATTTAATAGTATCATTGCAAATTTCATTGCTCTGATTTATTCCCACCCTGCCTTATAACTGATATTTTAAAAACATCATACTGAAACAGAATTTCACATGCAAAATCCTTGTTTTTGATGAAAAAAGTAGCTTTTTGTCAATGTATGTGATTGATTTCAAATGGCCTCTTCGACAAATAACTTACTAATACCCTTTATTTCTGTTCGTAGGTTTTAGTATAAAAGCGGTGCCATTCCAGAATGCCATCTTGAACGTAAAAGAACTTGGAGGTATAGCATCTATTCATTTGATTACAAAAACATGCAGAGTCTAAATTTCATCATAGAAACCGTTAGTTGTTTTAAATTTAAAAATGATAAATCAGTGTGGCTGGAATTTAAAACCTGTGTTTCACCACAGCAGGTAAAGTTGAGAAAAATTGTACAAATGCTGACTACAAAGAACAGAAAGTAAAAAGCAGGAGCAGGAGGCGGATAAGTGTGGTGTATCTTCTTAATGTAATTTCTTGGATTGTGGTGGTTAAGTTATACAGAAATACAAACTGGAGTAGTAGTAGTACTGTAGTATGGCTCACATGGCAGCTCAAGAAAGTGTGTTCCCTGTGTTTATTGTACGTATAAGCTTTTACTTATGAGCACTGGCTCAGGTAACTGTGAACATTTGGCAAAACCCAATGTTTTTGCTGCACCACTGAAAGCGTTGCAAAGGCAGCCAACTTCCAAGGAGTTATATTATTTGAGATTTATTCTCTTGTTGGATTTGTTGGGTTTTGGAGGAATCGTTGTATTGTGGTTGTGGTTTTTTTATTGTCTCTTATTTGGCTGCGCAATTCTGACCCTGAGTCTTAAGTGATCAAGAGGTAGCTCTGTTAAAAGGCAGAAAACAGTCTCCTAATGAGAGTGCTTGTGGAGTCTAGTTTCATCTAATTTTCTCCTAATTAAAAAACATCATAGATCTTCTTTATATTCTAGAATTTCTATAGAACTTCTTTATTATCTATGTAAATATAGTAGTATGAATCTTGAGGATGTTCATTAGATTCTCAGAGAAGTTGAAACCTCTCTTAAATGCTCTGGGGTAGAAGTTAACTTAAAGTTTCATGAGATCAAATCAAATTTCATGATGATTGTCTTATCTGAAACTGTTTCAAGAAGGCTTTGAGATAAGCACATATTAAAAGAATAGCATTTCCTCTTTACTACCGTTAGTCTATGGATGTAAACATACATGTTCTTGTTTGAGCGTGCATCCTATAAAAGAAGCCGAGGTTCTCTATGATAAAGGGACCGCTCCACAGGGATAGTGTTGGTTCTGCTTGGGAGTGTTATCTGCATAATGTATACTTAGGTTGCTTTTTGGATTTTTTTTTTTAAATAGGGTGAATCATTTGCAGCCCAGTTTATACATTCTGGTGTCTAATCTCCATGAAATATATAATTCATATAGGTAAATGCAGTTTTTGCATCAATAATTGAATCTGAGTATTCTGTAGCAGATCCTCGTTAAAGTCTCTTCCTTAACCTTTTCTGATCACACAACCTGTATTTTATGCAGGTATGTGTGTTATGAGAAACCTTATCTCAGTGAATTGCTTTGATGTCTCATAACAGGATGCACTGAAATAATCCAGAATATTTGATTTGGTTTTTTTCACCCATTTATCTCTTCCCAAAGACAGAAGAATTGTCAGAATTTTTTTACTCCACCTTTTTATTTCTTTTCCCTTTAACTCTGGGCATTCACATATCTGTACTTAGAAATGGTATTGTCTGTTTTTTCTATGAGATATTGGAGAAAAATGTTAATTCTGATAGCTTTTCATTGCTTGAGTAAGGAAGCTAAGGCAAGCTTCCAAAAGTTTGTTTTTCTTCCAAAAGTTGGTGATCAGGATTTAATCTTCTAACCGAGACATGTTTTCCTAATTCCTGGAGTATGCATGGTTTCTCTTGCTGCTGTATTAAAATAAAGAAAAGCATCCTACATATTTAATCACTGTGAAATTTTATTTTGGAATTTCTGCTTCTTGTATTGAAGAGAAGCCTGTGTTTTTGTTCTTATTGCTGTTTTTTGCCTTCAGTTGTTATGGTATTGTTATCTAAGTTCTCTTTGCTGTAGTATGCAGGTCTCATCCAGACATTTGGTCCTGGAAACTTGGAGAAAGGTAGAAAGGCATATGGTTTTAACAATTGCTGTCCATTGGTGCATGTTACTCAAAGGGTGAAGCTCTATGTAGTTTTAATTTTTGATACTCTGTTTTAAAGTTGTCTTTTAGGTTAGGTAACTGAAAAGCTTCATATGTCTTTGTACAGCAGTGTATTAGCAGCTGATATTTAAAAAACTTACAGCAGAAGTCATACTGTTTAAGGCTCTTATATTCAGCAGCCAAGCAGTTATATGAAACAGATGCTGACTGCGTAGTATCCTTTTTGTTTGATTGAAGCAGTGTCCTTCCTTGAGGTCGAAGGTGGTGCTAGTTTTTACTCTGCTGGTTGCCTTCTGGAGCTGCTAATGAAGCCAGGTTTTGTTTCTTCATTTCTGTAGGGATTGTAAATTTTCAGGCAAACTGTATAGAAAACAGTCTCTCTTCTTTTCTCTTTTCCTTGTCCGATTATCTCTTCATCAGCCTTTAGGATTAGGGACATGGAACAAAGTTTCCTGAGCTCTTTCTGCAGAAATTTTTCTTTGTAGAATATTAAAAAAAAATACATATTTCTGATTATTTTTTTATTGCATTTATTTCCTAAGCCAGGCTGCCTTCCTACAATAAAAGGTTTTTATCCAATTTCATAAATGTTAAACATTTTGTTTGAAAACATTGTATTTGATCCTGAATAAGTAAGAATATATATAGCTTTCAAATCAAACTTAGGCCTGCTTGAATTACTTGAAAAGGAGGTCTTGCTTTATTTACTGACCAGACTGAACTGCCTGTTCTCTAAGTTTATATTTTGATATACCAATAATCCTTTCCCACTCACTGAGAAATTAAAAAAAATTACCATTTTCTTTCCAAAAATTTAGTCCATAAAATAACGTGTGTAATTTAGATTACTGTGAAGATGTGTTGTGCCTGAGTCCACATTTCAGGATGTACTTTTATCAGGATAACTGGAATCCCTCTCTGTATTATGCAACTCAGCTGAGTAATGGTATAGAAAGAAATTACAGATTTGATGATTTCCTGTTTTGTGCGGCAATCTCTGGCGGCAGCTAAGGGTGAAATTGTGTACAATGAACATACAGAAGAATGGGGAAAGACTGGAAAAATAAGGCAGGTGATAACATTTGTTGTTCAGAAGGTTCTAACAGTGTTTTGCTGAAAGAAGTTTGGAATGCTGAACGCTGAGGTTTATTCTCAGGACAGATAATGAAGGTGCACAGTGATAGGAATCTTTCTCTTTGGTTCTAGCAAATTCCACCATAGAGACACAGTGCCTGAAACCACCATTTTTTCGGTGTGTTTATTCAGTTATTTGCTGTTGTAATGCTGTCAAAACAGAATGCGAAGTCATGGTGTCTGTTTTTGATGTAGCTACTTACGGAGGCCTAAATGAAGATTATGGGTCCATTCTGGAGGTCAATTGATAATTTACAGTTGTTTTTTTAGAATAAGTCTATTTTATAATTTAGTTTGCTATCTTGTAAATGCAGACTTAGAAACTGCTGGTGAGATGTCAAATACCGAGCCTGGTCAAATTTGAAAGAATGATTCTGGATGTGAACAGCTCTTTTTCTTCTTACCAAGTTTGCAAATACTAACAATAAGTTACAAGGTTTAGTAACATTCTCTGTTTATGTACTAAAATATATTGTCGTATGTTTGTGTTAGGTTTTTGTAATTCACCCAAAGGTCTTTTTCACAAGCACAGAGAGCCAACAAGTCATGTAGTGAGCTTTGATACTTCATTTAAGACAAAAAGTGTTAAGTGCTTAGCAAGAGCAGAGTGGTTAATATCAGGGATGCTCGAGTCTCCAGTTGGTTGAACATGCCCTGGAAAAGAGATGAGAACTGTCCTCCCCACTGCTGTTCCTTCTTAAGCTTCATGACCACAGTCATAAAATCACACTCTTAGGCCAGCTAAATGAATTGTCTAGGTGAGAGCTTGAGAACAAATAACTTCAAATAGGATTGGTTAAACAAAGCATGTGTATTTTGCCTTAATTTGGAAGTAAAGAGTGAAGAGAGAGTAGGAGGGGGAGTCACACTGCCATGCAATCCAAGTTGAATAGAAAATATGAACACCTGGAGAAGATGGTAACAGTTGTCAGGTAGTATCTGCCTTGTGAAAAAATAAGGGAGGAGGGAGAAAATAATGTTGAGCTATTAATTAGAATTTAAAATTTTGGGTAACCACTGTCTTTCTTTGCTCTGTGGAGGTAGAGCGGATCAGTGAACACCCTTCTAGCAACATAGTCTGGCAGCAACCAAAATTTCATCTAGTTAGTCATCAAAAAACTGATCCCACAAGTAAATGCCAGCCTAAGTCATCTTAACAGGGGCGAACTAACACAAAGCAATAAAAACTCCATACTGTATTTGACTAAAAGGCAGTTGACACCTCTACAAAATCTGGTTGTGGAGTGCATGCAGTGCCATCTGCGACATAGCTGCGTCTAACAGTTTACAGAATGTCTTAGCAGATGAAATTTTTAGATGACCCTGATGAGCCATCCAAGCTGTGAGTCGCACAGAGACATTCAGCTTCCGAAAGCATTAAAGTTGTATCTGTTTGCTATCAATCATACTCAGCCTGCTGTTCAAATGGTGCCCTAAGCCCTGGCTCTGTCATACAGTTTCCTCATTTCATAGTTAAGAGAGATCATTTACAGCTGCTTTCAGGTCTCGTTAACAGGAATCCTGAGGAAGCTCTGATAAGGATTCAGCATGAGCAATCTTTCCACTGTTCTTTGGAAATACTGTTCTTTTTTCTACAATTAACTTTTTACTATGTGAATAAGCAACTCACTGCCTATCTTGTTCAAAACAAGTAGGAGTCATGCAAGCAGCACCTATCGTAGCTATGTACGATATGATAAGCAAACCACAAAATTTCCTGGTTACGTTTTTTGTGGGGCGGGGGGCTGGTTGTTGATGAGATGTTTTGTGGAGAGAAAAGTAGAACCTTTGGTTTGTTAAAAAGCCTCTGTCTCTTGTTGGACTTGCAACTCCATTTTCTTCAGGCTGAATCAAAGGATAGAATATAGCACGCTAGTATAGCATCACAAATGATACCTACATTTTATGAACTCCCCCCAAACAAACAAAAAA